CCTGAGCCAGAAACCGGACCGCTCCGCGCAAAAGACTGCGTTCGTCCCAACCAAAACAACTCGCTTGTGAACCGAATTGCTAGTATTCATAGTCCCTTGCGTATTACTTTACTTCAGTAGATAAGTGATGGAATGATAAAATTAAAAATGAATTAAATTTAGACGGTTTCGGATTCTTTTTTTTCGATGAAGTACCCTTTTGTCTCGTGTGCCTGGGGGACTGAATCACAACGCTACAGTAGTGTTGGGATAAGGGTATTTTGCGAGACCATCCCGATGGACGCCAGCTCATGTCATACCTCCGCGCAGGCGTTAGCGTCTTCGATTTCCTCACCGATGAATACCGTTGGGAGATGACGTCAAGAACCGTATCGCCCGGAAGCGTTTCCAGGGGCGGTGCTCCCCAACCGTATTATCCCGACGAACGTGCGGAAGCCGTGAGGCTAACAGCACCGTTACGTTTGGCACCAGTCCCATTTGTCCGAAGGTTTTGCTTTTATCGATTGTGACGTTACGATGTTACCACGAGGGAATCTGATCAGCACGACCCGCGACCAAGTCACCAAAACCTCCCAGACGGATGCTTGCTTGCTTGCTTTCAATTCGGGTGAAACCTTCGACGCTGCGTGCCCCACAGCTTTGAGGTACCTTGCCACGCCAACCGGGATGAGTCCGAGTGGAGCGTTGTGTGCGTCTCCTGAGATAGACACGACGTTTTTGAGCTGGAACGCAGATTCACGCACTCAGACAGGGTGTGCAACGCAGCACACCCCACACGCTCGTCGCTCTCTCGCAACGATCGACGTATCCCGCCAATTTTCCAGCCAGAGCCAACAACGCCTAGGGCCCTAGGATTTTGTTGTGGATCATACTGCACCACATCGTGTTGGTTGGGTGTCGGGCGATCCATGCAGAGTGTGGTGGTACTGCTGCTGCTGCTGTGTGCTGGTGTGTGCGTGTGAAAAAAAGTACGTGGCTGGCCCTACGTCAATTTGACACAACCGAACTTTGTCGGCACCGAAGCAGGAGTTCCTCCCACTGCCGGCAGTACGCTCCATGGCGGACCGCGCGCTTGTGTTGATGGGGTGAGGTGTGCAGCAGCACCCATCCTGGCGTGGTGTTGACCAAAGCAACTATATAACAGCCGAAAGATGAAAAAACTTGAAAGACCTCAGCATCAGCAGACGCCAGCTGCCCTTCGTGCTAAAAGAATCTTCCCTAGGGGTCGAAAGTTCATTTTTGTGTGGTGGCCGTAAACTGGCTCTTGACACTAACAAGTGAGAGTGAACTTTTCGGAACGTAGCTCCGAAACCAACCAGTGTATTAATTGAACCTGACCCGCTGTCCCTCTTTTCCTCCGATCGACAAACAAGCATCCAGCCGTTTTCTTCCACTCACTGTTGAAAAAAGACTTCCAACACCATCCCTTCGAATGCCAATTTTCTGACAAACTCTCACACGCGCGGCGCGCGAGATAACAGCTCCAGCAGGCCCGCGACGCCAAGGTGAAGGCCCTCGAGAAGGCCAGGAAAGAGCGCGCCGACGCGGCCAAGAGGGCGGAGCAAGAGGCTAAGCGAGAGGTACTGTACGCACCTTGTTGTGATCGTTTAGTGTTGCTGCTGCCGTAAAAGCGTTGGTGGTGGTGGTGGTGGTGGTGGTGGTGCTCCTGCTGCATTTGTTGCTGTTGGCGAGTGGTGTTGGTGCTTGTGTTGCTGATATGGTGTTAGCGCCTCCTGAGCAAGAGTTGTGGCCGTCGCGCAACATCCCTACTGCTGCCGCTGCTGCTGCTGCTGCTACTGCTGCTGCTGCTGCTGCTGCTGCTACTGCTGCCGCTGCTGCTGCTGAATTTATCGCTGTTGGCGTATGTATGTGTTGTTGGTGATGATGGTTGGCTCCGCCTGAGCAAGAACCCTGACCTCCGCGCAAAAGACTGCGTTCGTCCCAGCCAAAACAAACCTCTCGGTCAACCGAATTACGAGTACGAAGTATTTTTTTTTGTTGAAGCTGACCCGCTCTTTCTCTCTTCTCCTCCGATCGACGAACAAGTATCCCGCCGTTTTTTCTCCCACTCACCGCTGCTGTAAAGACTTCCAACACCTTCCCTTCGAAAGGCATATTTTCTGAGAACCTCCTCACTCACACGCGCGCGAGAACAGCTCCAGCAGGCCCGAGACGCCAAGGTGAAGGCCCTCGAGAAGGCAAAGAAGGAGCGCGCCGACGCGGCCAAGAGGGCGGAGCAGGAGGCTAAGCAGAAGCAGAGGGCCCTCGAGGAGGCGGAGAGGGAGCGCGCCGCGGCCACCAAGAAGGCCGAGCTGGAGGCCAGGCAGCGGGCGAAGGGCCTGGTGAGATAGCCAGCCAGTCAAATCAGTCGGTTTCACGGAAGACACTGAAGAACAAGAGGGATCACATTATTGCCGCAAAAAATGTCTACTTGAAGCACCGTTATTGTGCGTGTTATCGCACCCCCGTGTTGGCGTTTTTCTATAACGTATTTCTCCACAGCCAGGGAGGTACCACCTCCGAAAAGGGTAGTTTTGGAAACATCTTGTCGAGGGCTTTCCGGAGAGGTATCGGTTGGTGTTCGCACCCTCCTAGTTGTGGAGCAATACGCTACAAAAAAACGCTAACACGGGGGTGCGATGACACGCACAATTACGGTATATACATGAAGTATACTTCTTGTTTCAGGCAGAGAGCGAAGGGAATGGTGCGTGAGAGAGTCCGAAGACAAAGGTCGAAAGCAAGCAAGTAGGTATATCTCCTTTTTTCGCCAAGACAGGGCATTTTTTCATTTTCCATCTAAATTTTGTTTTTTTGTGTTTCAAGAACGCGTGTGGGGGGAGGAGGCTTACACTCCGCCGTAACGAGCGACAGTGTTAGGCACGTAGTATCTTTTGTCGGACACGCCGCAGGTGTAGGTAGGTAGGCAGGCGAGACTCGCCTGCCTTGGGGGGTAGTTGGTATTGTGTATTGTTTGTACATAAATAGCGCGGCAGCAGCAGGGCGGCCAAGGTGTAGATCGATTGCTATTCGCGGCGAGAAGCAAGGAGTTCCAAGGGAAGGAGGCGAGACTGCCTGCCCGCCCTTGGGAGTTTACGTTGGTATGTTTTTTTTTTTTTTTGACGTTTTGATGAAAGCGTGTGTCAAGGAGCCGCTGCACTTTCGACACATGTGCGTATTTATTTTATGGAACTTGTTTGGGAGCGAAAAACCACATCAAAGCTGTGTCTTCGATGCAGAACGGACTTACAGGTTGGTTCGGATTTACGGTTTCAGTTTTGTTTTCGCCGTTACTCTTGTCCACAAGTGACCCCCCCCCCCTCTGATTTACGTCCCCACCTTTGTTTTCGTCCTTCCCCCCCCCCCCCCCCACGCGTTCCGCAGGGCTTGTGAGTGGAGAGCCGACGACGACCGCAATAGCTATAATTTAGTCTTCCTGCGGAGAAACCCGGGGATGGAGTGCCGACTGTCCCCGTCGGCCCTTGGAATGATCACGGGTTGTGATAGACAACGATTAGTTCAGCCACGAACATCACGCACGCGCGCGTACAGAGCTTGGCAAAGCTTGCCCTAGCCCTTTCATTCAGGGTCTTGTTGCCTCGATTTCCCCCCTAACCACCCGCTACTGTCGTGTCGGACAGTCTTCTTTTTTTTTAGATACTGGCATGAGTACATGTTTTTGTCATGTTTTAGGGGTGCATGATGACAGCTATCTTTGTGCGGGCAGTGACAAGTTTTGTTTTTTCATTTTTGAAGGGGAGAAGAGCGCTACCCTATGTCTGTGTGGGCGTTGATGATCTGGGGGGATTGAAGACGAGCGCTCGGCAGGATAGAATTGCTACGGCGGGGGGGGAGGGGGGTACGTTTGCTGTGATCTCAGAACTGACAGTCTTGTCTTGGCGGCAGTCGGCGTCAAAGAATAGGTGTCACGGGAGGGACTCGACCCGCTATTTAGACGTAGATATTGCGGTGTTCGGTGGCGTTGTTTTTGTCGTCAGGAAGCAATCAATCGCGCACACGTAATTATAGTGACGTGAACGCGGAAGAGGTACAGCAGATCTATCTGTCTAAAATCACGATGAAGAACAGGCGAGAGAGGACTCACTCATCGGCCTGTTTTTTTTTCATCTCTTTTTCGTGGGTTGGAAGGGAGCAGAGCCGCTCTACGAGTAGAAAGGCTTAATTGCCTCTCCCTGATGCCTGCTGGTGTGTCGTTTCTCTTCTCGACGGTGTGAAAGCATGCCCTCTGTCTGCCGTTCACCACGCAGAGTTCCTTGTACTCCGATCCGTTGCACACGGACGGGGGGACGGAATCTTTGACGCGTCACCTTTCCTCTCCTCTTCTTTCTTTGTAAAACGAAGGCTCTAGACTATTGCTCTCCTCTTCGAGTGGTTGCGTCGACCAAATGCGACGCCAACGCAGCAGCAGCGACGGCAATTGTAGCGACCAAGTTAGATCAAACCGGCAGGCAGGTCGTGGATTTTTCCTTCTTGACGGGTTCATGCGCCGCTCACTCGCGCGCATGTACACCAGACCTCTTCTTCTCTCCGTGTTTTGGTTGCATGGTCGGTGTGTCGCTTGTCTGGCAACCGTCGACAACCAGAAACGAGAATGCTGCTGTCAGTAGCTGCCGGGACGGATCGTCACTCACGACATTTCTGGGACCCCGGCCGCCCGTTCATGAGAGGCAACCAACCCGCCCGTGCCGGATGATGATAAGTAGGGCAGACGGGTGGAGGAGGTGTGCGGCGCGATCCAGCGAACAGAAAGAAAGACAATGCTCTTGAGAGTTTTTTTGGCAAACCCGCAAACGTTGGGGGTTCGATTGCGGCGATTGGTGGATGATGGTGGTGGTGGTGGTGGTTCACAATTTTGTCAGCGAGGGGAAAAGAGCGACAAAGAAGCACAACAAAAGAAAAACACCGGATGTTGGTGGCGTTGTTACACCCGCCGCTGGATGGAGGTGTGCGCCAGCACAGTTTGGGGGGGGGGGAGGTTTGTAAATTGACCGAACGGAGCCAAATCGCATGAAAAGCTAAAGTTTTTGCGATCGATTTCGAATGAATCGCTGGGCTCCTGGACCCAAGAGTTTTATTTGTGTGTGTTCCGTTTGCATGCGACCGAACACCAGGTAGGGTGGCTAAACCTTAATCTACTGTTTCTTTGTTGTGGGGGGGAGGGGGGGGAGCATGACTCCTACGCACGCTAGCATTATTTCTGCTCCCGGTTGCAATGGATGCGTGTACACTCAACACACGGGAGGGAGAGCAAGCGCGGCAACTATCGGGTCTTTCGTGTCCGTGCCGCTTTGTTGTACAGCATGCGACATGAAATCCCCAATCACTCGTCAAGTGGAGTTTTCGTAGCGGTTGAAGAGACATTTGTTTTTTTTCTGGTGTGACAGAAATCCTGGCACAGAACTGAGACTTGTTTTTTTTTTCTCTTTCCTCACGAAATCAATCCCACAGAGGCCGTTCCCTCTTCTCGCCGGTGATCTCGGGTGACAGTGACCAAACTGAGACAGACATGGCACGAAGTCTTTACGGCTCGCGTCGGAACAGCGACAGCTTCAGCGCAACTCAACGCTGTAAAATCAAGCCATTTTCCAATTGAAAATTGGGGGTTCTGTTGCGGGTAAAAAAAAAACGACTACATACAAACGAGTGGCAAGATTACTCGCGATAGGGTGTAGCGCTCCGGCACCTTGCAAACCCTGGTTCGGATCTCAGAATGAGCTCGCTACATACGTTGAAGAACATGGACCGAACAGAAAAAAAACAAAACAGAAAGAGATGCAACATTACCATTCCGCCCCCTCCTCTCTATCGTAGACTTGTTCCTTAGCGCATATCCCTTGCCTCGAACTCCATACTACTAAATTCTGCGAGAATCCAGCCATATCTATGCAAAAAACAAAAGCGCGCCGTCGGTTATCGACGGGCCTGAAAAAAAAAAAGAACGCTAATATTATCGAACCATTTCGTGGGGAATATCAGCTACTTTAGAGCCATGCGCCCTTGGTAAGGGGGAGAAGCCAGCGTGATGAACGATAACATCTAGATCGTTCTGCTACATATCAAGAATACAGCACGTGTGCCCGCACCACCACCATGTGTGTTTGTGCACCGATGGCGATAAATGTAGCGTCCGGCGTCGACTCGCCCGCTCGGGCAGCAAATCTGCGTCTTTGCCGTAAATCACAAGTCCACACGTACGCATAACAAGTCTTGCACGAATACAGAATCTCAACGCTGCATACGAAAAAAACGAACCTAGCAAATCCACACTTTTAGACCTGCAAGACCGAGTCACGGTTAACTAGCGGTTCCATGGTAATAATACCGGATTCTAGTTGCACACCACAAATTCATACATGGCCGCAGAATCTCCGTTTCAAGAAAGAGAGCGCGGCGACAGAGTAAAAGTAAATCGAGAATAGCTGCAGTGCCAATCAACGGCAGTTATTCGTAAAAACAAAGGTTTTTGTTACCCCCCGAAATACAATAAGATTAAGCACATCCGCACGTGTCTAGCGCTCGTGTATTGGTACCGCCAAATGGTGCTCAAACATCGACTTTCTCTCAACATCTTCTTCATCGACGCAGCACCCCACTCCTGACATATGACGGTAACACCAACAGCTGCACACGGCAAGCGTAATAAATCCCTCCTGAAGTGAGTGCATTTTGCTTCTCTCTCATGTATGTGTGTATGCGTTGCATGTATGCGTATTTTAATTGTTTTTAATTTTTTTTTTATTGGTTTGGGGGAAGAGATACGCAAGGTAACGCTCGTCGAAAAGTCGGAAGCTACCATAACAACAAGAACGACGACAAGAAAACACAAACAAAACCCAGAACAAAATTCAACACGTTTTGCCCCCAAGAAACAAAAAACAAATCAACAAAGCGGCCGACCATCAGCACCGCGTCTACCGTTACACTAAGGCGAACCTGGACGACGTTTCCCCCCCGCCGCCGCCATCGCGAATACCAGCAGCAGCAGCGGGAACAACCCCCGCCTCCAGAACAGCAGCGGTCGGGATGGCGGCAGCGGCATATGCCGTGCTCCTACTACCATCGCCGCCGCCGCCGCCGCCGCCGCCGCCACAGTCCGCAGCAGCAGAAGCAGAAGCAGCGGTCCGTTCGACGAGCTCAACCCCTTCGACCTCCAGGGAGTGCGCATCATCCCCATCTGCCGACGGCCCTGCATGCTTCTCCTCCTCTTCCTCCTCCTGCTCGTCATCAGGCAAGGGGACGTGAGGAACACGCTTTATTTTCCCGGGGATGGATTCGTGGCGTCCCTCCCTCCCCCCCCCGCCCCCCCCGTCGGCGGCGGCGGCGTCGCCGTGGCCGCAGCGCCGTGCTCCCGCCCCCACCACCACTCCTCCGTGGCAAGAGGTTCCGCCGCTGCAGTCCACGCGCTTGTTGTCGTTGCGCCTGGTGCCTTTTAAGCGGTTCTCGTGCTGGTGTAGCATTTTCTCTAGCCGGGCTTGCCGTTTGCTGTCCAGCGGGGGGAGCTCGTAGCCCTGCAATGCGCGCATCAGCGTCATGAGGAAGGTGCAAGAGAGCGAGCGCGGGGAGGGGGAGGGGGGGGGTGTCGACCGTTCGAGGACGGAGCGGTGCAACAACAGCTCACGTATGCCCGCTGCTCGAGGGGAGAATGCACATCCTTTCGACGCGCATGCGTGTGTACATCATCGCAATTTGCCCCCCCACCATATGACGCCTGTCCATACGGGGGGCGGGAGTTACCCAACGCTGCTGTGCACAGTAGTTGACGGCGTGTATTTCTGGCATCCCTGGCGACGATGGTTTCATCGGAGCGAGGGAAGAACATCCCAAAACCCCAACGCAGTGCTCAACCTTATGCTACACTCTCGAGAGAGACTCTGCTGCTGCAAGTCTCGAGCACAACAAAAAAGAAAAGAGCGTTGAATACCAGCAGCAGAAGTGGAAACCACTTTCACAAAGGGTAGTTCAGTTCCCTCTTTTTTCACTCAAGAGCAACACAACAAAAGACGACTGCCCAGCTGCTTTTGCTGCTTTTGCTGCTGCTGCTGCTGCTGCTGCTGCTGCTGCTGCTGCTGCCCTCGCTGCAAAAAACACCGGCAACCTCTCATTGTTTTTTTTATGTGGCGTGTCGCATGACTTACCTCGAGGTAGTAGCTCGGACGACGACGACGACGGACGGAAACAGCGGCCGCCGCCGCACTACCACCACCAGGCGCGATGCCCCCCCCGCCGTCTTCGCCACCGCCGTTGCCCCCGCCGACTCCCCAGAACTCCATGAGGTTGCCCCACGGGCCGAGGTCGTAGCGGTTGAACGGGGGCCCTCGCGGGGTGGCGTTGAGCCAAGGGTATCGCCGCTGGTTTATCCGTTCGTTCGAGGTAAAGTTCGACAGCATGTTCCGGATCTGGGCGTCACACCCATGGTGCGGTACGGTAAGGGCGTCGTCGGCAGTAAGGGCATCGACGGCAGTACGGTCAGGGCGTGGGGGGGGGGTTCCGTTAGAGGGGTTTCGGACGAAGCGATGCGGGGAGGGAGCATTGTTCCTTCAAAAGGCTTTGCTCCCGCCAAACCCCAACAGATTGTTGGTGGTGTGTCTTGGGAATGTACGTTGATTGCATGCATGATGAGGTGTTTTGTTGTTGCTTTTTCGACCGAATATGTTCCGTGTCATCATCTACATACGCACCACCTTCGAGCGACTTGAAATAAACTCTTGTTGCAATGCCTGAAGCTACTGCTGTGTCCACTTCCGTGGACAAACCTCATTCGAAGCCGCTCGCGCTGAGCAGCCAAGAGCCCCGCACGCGCCACTAACCAACCACGGAGCCCTCCCCCCCCCCCCCCCCCCCCCCCTTTTTTACCAAAAAAACCCCTTCCTCCTCTTTACCCTCCCCAAAAAAATTTAAACCCCCAAATCCCCCCCCCCCCTTCAAAAAAAAATTCCAAAAAAAATTTTTCCCCCCAAAAACCCCCCCCCCCTTTAAAACCCCCCCCTTTGTTTTTTTTTTTTCCAAAAAAAAAAAAAAATCCCCCAAACAAAAAAAAAAAAAAAAAATTAAAAACCCCAAAAAAAAAATTTCTTTTCTCTTTCTAAAATTAAAAACCCTTTTTTTCCCCTTTTTTTTTTTCCCCCTTTTAAAAAAATTTTTTCCCTTTTCCCCCATTTTCTCCAAAAAAATCCCTTCTAAAACCCCCAAAAAAAAACCCCCCCCCAAAATCCCCCCATCAAAAAATTTTAAAATCTTTTTTTTTCCCCCTTTCCCCCTCCA